TGATATTTCACATTGTTTGCACACTGTTTCTTGCCACCTGTGTGCATATTACAAAAACAGATTCTTTTTGGTGACCTATAAAGTCTTTTAAATTTACACATAATTGAAATATAAATATCCTTATAATAATATTAATCAAATAAATATTTTTTTTTCAAAAAAATTCAAAATAAATACCTACAATGTAGGTCCTACAAGTGTTTTTCATTACTTACATTACATTACATTAAGTTACGACTAAAGTGGGGAACAATTATTGAGTTCCAAAAAGGTAACAAATATGTCACTAGCTATAAACCTTACTATTTGGAACGTAGCTGCTAGAACGTTCCAATATCGTTGCTAGAGCGTTATAATTACTTTTATTTATTTGTTTTTATTTCTATATTAACTGTCTTTGTCAAACTTACATTAGATTATACTATCCCTCCTTTTTTAGATGGAACCATTAGTGGTTCCATTTAAAAAAGGAGGTAGGAGTAGCTACGGACTTGGCTTTTCAATGTCGTCGTTTATTAAGTATATTTACTATACATATATGTACTGGTAGTTTATAACTTCCAGAATAACAATATAATGTTTAATTTGGCAGGTAAATTTATAAACCCTTTAAATTTAACTGTTGAATATATGAATTAAGTTTTTGTAAAATAAATAATAAACAATTTATTTAATAATGTTTATAAATAAAAAAAATCTTAATATTTATTATTAATTTTTTATTTAATTATTAATACCGTCTAAACTGCTCGTCATAAAAATCGACGCACCTAGTTTTTTGGAAAATATTTGAAAGCTCGTTATTGAAAAATTACTGGATCGATTTTGAAAATCTTTGAAAATTCTGAATAGCTGATTCTTTGACTCTTATGTCTAATTTTGGGAATACGATATTTTGCACATAGCACTATACTACAGGGTGTTAAACGAAGAGATGTAGTTTTTCCGAAATTTAAAGTTATTCTCATTCATGAGGCAGTTGAGTTTGATAGTCGTAATACCCCTCCCTAATATTAGTAAGGTAATCCCTCGAAACGTTTTCGAGATTTTGTGAATATCGCGGCTTACTACGATATTATATAATATATATATGCCAATTTATCGAAAATTGTCGTTATTTCCCAGTTTAGTCCAAAAAATGAGCAATAGTGGATTCTTTGACCTACGTCTAATTTTGAGAATACGTTATTGTGCACATAGCATTATACTACAGGGTGTTGAGAGAAAAGAGATGTTTTTTTCCAAAATTCCAAATCCCCATTCAAAGGGCAGTTGAGTTTGATAGTCCTAATACTCCTCCCTAATAACAGTTAGGTGGATATCTTGGCTAACCACGATTGTACGGCAATTTTTCGAAAATGCACGTTATTCTTCATTTTAAAATTAGTCAAAAAAATCAGCAATAGTTGATTTTTTACTCTTATGTCTAATTTTGGGAATACAATATTGCGCACATAGCATGATACCACAGGGTGTTTAAAAAAGAGATATTTTTATCCAAAATTCCAAATTCCCATTCACAGGGCAGTTGAGTTTGATAGTCCTAATACTCCTTCCTAATAACAGTTAGGTAATCCCTCGGGATATTTTCGAGATTTTATGGATATCTTGGCTAACAACGATTGTACGGCAATTTTTCGAAAATGCACGTTATTCTTCATTTTAGTCAAAAAAATCAGCAATAGTTGATTTTTTACTCTTATGTCTAATTTTGGGAATACAATATTGCGCACATAGCATGATACCACAGGGTGTTTAAAAAAGAGATATTTTTTTCCAAAATTCCAAATTCCCATTCACAGGGCAGTTGAGTTTGATAGTCCTAATAATCCTCCCTAATAACAGTTAGGTAATCCCTCGGGATATTTTCGAGATTTTATGGATATCTTGGCTAACCACGATTGTACGGCAATTTTTCGAAAATGCACGTTATTCTTCATTTTAGTCAAAAAAATCAGCAATAGTTGATTTTTTACTCTTATGTCTAATTTTGGGAATACAATATTGCGCACATAGCATGATACCACAGGGTGTTTAAAAAAGAGATATTTTTTTCCAAAATTCCAAATCCCCATTCACAGGGCAGTTGAGCTTGATAGTCCTAATGCCCCTTCCTAATAACAGTTAGGTAATCCCTCGGGTCATTTTCGAGATTTTGTGGATATCTTGGCTAACTACGATTATATACCAATTTTTCGAAAATATGTTAAAAAAAAGATGTTTTTCCAAAATTCCAAATCACCATTCACAGGGCAGTTGAACTTGATAGTCGTAATACCCCTTCCTAATAACAGTTGGGTTATCCCTCGGGACATTTTCGAGTTTTGTAGATATCTTGGATAACTACGATTATATGGCAGTTTTTCGAAAATTCACGTTATTCTTTACTTAAGTCCCAAAAATGAGCAAACTATAGTTTGCGAAACTATAGTATACGAAAGGTATCAACACAGCGTTTTAAGGTGATTCATTAAAAGTGAAATGTTTTACACAAAACCATTTTTTTTTGGTTAAAATCAAAATAAAAACTCAAACGAAACAAAATTATTCTTGTAAATTTATGCAGGCTATATTCATGCAATTTTCTACAAACGGTTGAATATGAAAGTTTAAAAAATATGGCGCAATGCGCATATCTGGTTTTGAGTTTCCTTCCTTCAATTATTTTTGTCATTTTTGTCGTCGAATATGAAAACATTTTTCAAACAGCAAAACACATTTAAAAAAAATAAAATGACGGTTGTAAGATTGCATACCACGCAAGACGAAGAGCTGCCTGTCCTCTTTTTCTGCTAGAAGAAGATGGGCACAAGAACATGCAAATTGGGGAAACGATGTGTTGATAACTAATCGATACCTTTCGTAGTTTGCTCATTTTTGAGAATTAAGTGGAGAATAACGACAATTTTCGAAAAATTGCTATTTAATCGTAGTTAGCCAAGATATCCACAAAATCTCGAAAACGCCCCGAGGGATTATCTAACTGTTATTAGGGGTATTAGGACTATCAAGCTTAACTGCCCTGTGAATGGGGATTTGGAATTTTGGAAAAAAACATCCCTTTTATTAACACCCTGTAGTAGCATGCTATGTGCACAATATCGTATTTCCAAAATTAGACATAAGAGTCAAAGAATCAACTATTGCTCATTTTTTGGACTAAAATGAAGAATAACGTGAATTTTCGTAAAATTGCCATATAATCGTAGTTAGCCAAGATATCCACAAAATCTCGAAAATGTCCCGAGGGATAACCTAACTGTTATTAGGAAGGGGTATTACGACTATCAAGTTCAACTGCCCTGTGAATGGGGATTTGAAATTTTGGAAGAAAATCATTTTTTTTTAACACCCTGTAGTAGAATGCTATGTGCACAATATTGTATTCTCAAAATTAGACGTTAGTAAAAGAATCCACTATTGCTCATTTTTTGGACTAAACTGGGAAATAACGACAATTTTCGATAAATTGGCATATAATCGTAGTAAGCCGCGATATTCACAAAATCTCGAAAACGTTACCTTACTTATATTAGGGAGGGGTATTACGACTATCAAACTCAACTGCCTCATGAATGGGAATAACTTGAAATTTCGGAAAAAATACATCTCTTCGTTTAACACCCTGTAGTATAATGCTATGTGCAAAATATCGTATTCCCAAAATTAGACATAAGAGTCAAAGAATCAGCTATTCAGAATTTCCAAAGATTTTGAAAATCCATTCAGTAATTTTTCAATAACGAGCTTTCAAATATTTTCCAAAAAACTAGGTGCGTCGATTTTTATGACGAGCAGTTTATTTCCAACAAAATTACGATTTATTAAAAAGTAAACAACCATCTACAAACAATTAAAATAATTTATTATTTACATTACCACGTAATAAGAAGCATTTTCCTTTAAAGTAGTTTTCGCTACTTTAAAGTTTTTTTCCACCTTAATTTTCTTTACGGTAGTTTTGGTTAGTACCATAAACGTTCCAAATAATAAAATAATAACTTTTAAGTTATCAACTTTGTAGTTCCAGTTTCGAGATTTTAACTTGCAAAGGGACTACAAAGTAAAAATAATTATAATGTAATATTTAGGTAGGAAACCGAAAGTAACTGCTACAAATTAAATTTAAGTCTTCTTGAGGGCAACCAAGTTTTACTTAAATGTTTATTACTTTATAGTAACAATTTAAGGAAATTTCAAAGAATGAAAAAAAAAATATTGCTATTTAAAAGTTAGAATTACTTTTAAGTAAAAATTAAAGTAGTTTAGTAGTTTAGTTTAGTATAGGTACTTAACTAATTTAAAGTTATCACCACTTTGGTAATGGTTTTTGGAACCAAAAGTGCTGCTTGGGTTAGCTGTGCAATTGAACAAAATTTGTCTAGTAACACTTCTGCCTTCCTCACTTTTGTAAAAAACTACCTATTTATTTAAAAATATCGTATGCTTTAAATGTATTGTTGACAATTCTTAAATTCACGCAATGCTTTTGAAGTCCACCAGATGGCGCGCGCGTTGCGAAAACCCGATACTTCTTTAGCGTGTACACACATAGTGCTTAATGTTAGCTATTTTTTATTGGACTAAGAAATACTACTTAAGATTCGGGGGCCCTTCTGGACCGGCGGCCCGCGGTGGGCCCTTAGTCCGCCACTGCCTTTATACACAAAAAACACATATATTGCATTATTTCCAGAAAATATGACGAAATTGACACTTAAAGAACATTAACCTTAATTATTTCTATAAAAGTCACGTGGTGGGACTTTCATGTTTGTAGTACAGTACCTACATACATAAACTAAATTTATTCTAAAGCGTAAAAATGTAATATAAAAATATATCTATCCTTTTAATTATTACATTTTTAAAAATATTAAATGAAACGACTATAAACAAATTTAAAAAAAATAATGCAATATTCAAAAAATTCTTAAAAAATATTTAATTTATATATCATGATATGCATATACCTATTATAAACTTGCGAAGTTTCTTACCTTGCTCGTTATGTCGGTGGTAAAACGTGTATCTCACGAGACAGTTTCCCGAATACTAACTGGAACTGAAAACGAGAATCCTGGGACTTTGGGATAACGGCGCCTCTGTATTGCCGCCTGGACCGACAAAATCGATTTAAACCGTCCTTCTTTAGGGCACATTCAATCCTATTTTTCATCCTTGTTTTTCCATGATTTATTTTATAAAACGTTACTATTGCAAGTAAAAATATATAATTTATGTTAATAATCCGTTTGTTGCATTTGTTGCTAATTTAAATATTATCAGGTGGTATTGTTTGGTTTTTAAATATTTAAAAGAATAGTTTTGTGTGCGCTTTATTTTGAATTTTGTTAAGTTAAAATTAAGCTAGCTGGCGCTGACGACAACGTTGCCAAGATTTCTACTTGTTAGGAGTTGTTGGAGCCGGTAGAGGGCAGCAGCATAGTTTATTATTGTAAAACTCGCTTATCACACACACAAACAAGAATAATAATGGTGCATTATGGATCAGATGTTTTGTAGGGCGAATTGGTGTGCTATATTTCATTTTAAGTAAGTCCAAAACGATAATTCTATAGTTTTTTTAACGATTAACGAGGGATAAAAGGGTTGAGCCGGTTTTATAAAACTGGTTCTTCAGATATTTGTGTGGTGTGATTGGGATTTTTTAGTTATACGGTTACAGGCACAGCCGTGCAGCAAACTTGACAGTGTATCCCAAAATTTAATCGTTTAGGAAGGTTCCCATTTTTTTATAAATTTCGTTTGCTGCTTTAAATAAGTGTAAGGAACGATTCAGAGTTATGAAGTATATTAATAGGTAGGTTGAAATGAAAAAATAGTGTAAGGGGACTTTGAAGGTTTTTTTTGTGTAGTTAACATCTGTACTTGGCGAGTCGTTACTATAGTTTTATTTCATTTCGATATCCAATGTCGTAGGTATTTTCTGTCCGTGAAAACCTATATATATTCTTTGTTCATGCAAAATACGTAAAATTTCTGCGTAAACAATTAACGAATATCAGAATTACTTGTTCTTGGAAATGAAACAATAACCAATCGGGTAATTATCGTAAATTAATAAGTCGCACTGTAGAATTGATGTATCTTTCAATTGTTTATTGGTTAATGAGTCACTGAAATAGTTACATGAACCTAAAAGTAAGCAAATAATGCATACAAAGAATATGTCACAAAATTGTCAAGTTGATTAATCATGATCATCATGTATGTTGCAGATCAGCATCACAGTTCGAGAGCAAGCTGAATTAATTTGGTAATGAGTGTCACTGGTAAGTGGAGGAGCCTAGAACGCTTTGTCTATGGCAGATTCGGCTAACACACCTGCTGTAGCCAGCACTAGCCGTCGGAAACGTGTGCTGCAGTTGCAGCCACGTTCTGAGGCCAAGCGTCTTCGAACCTCTTCACAGGAAGATCTCAACCCTGATCACAGACTAAACAATCCCTCCTCAAAAATACCCACCAAAGTAAGTACGATTTAACTTATGTAAAAAACAAACAGTATAAAATAGATTATTTACTTTTTTGTTTAGCCATATTAGTAATCTGCTTAAAGTTGTTATAAGACGGATAAGATATTTTGTTTAATATTTTCTTGAAATCAAGGTTAAAACAAAATTATTAATGAAGTTGTATTTTTATTATCATTTAAAGATGATATAAACACAGACAATGTATCATGTATACATGTTTGCATGTTAATACATGTGAATTAAGAGTGATACTAGACAATCTTGTGAGCAAGTTTATGCTTGCTTGTGGATGTTTTCCAGTCCACCCAGAAATTTTGTTGACAACAATTTCTTTTTCATAAGTAACTTTTTCCCCATTTACAGTACTCTGCATAGCATTTATGTTTACAGAAGTTATTCTTGATTTTTAGGTGAATAAACAAAATTTAGATTTAATTTATTTTTACAGAGCCAGTTAAATAAATTGTTCAGATGGTTGTTGACATTTCGTCACCAGAGAATTATAGTGTTCTATCTACATTTTCTTTTTTTTATTCAGGTTAGTCTTGTTTCAAGTCTTAAAGATGATATTGATCTATCTATATATAATTGGGGTGGAAATTGTAAAGTTTAAGGCTTAAACTGTACAATTTCTACCCCAATTATATATAGATAGAACAATATGCATCTTTAATACTTAAAACAAGACTAACCTGAATAAAAAAAGAAAATGCAGATAGAACACTATAATTCTCAGGTGGCGATTTGCTTGCATTTGGTTCAAATTTTTACCTATAATATAGAGCAACTTTCCTACAATTTGACTTAAGTGTACTTTAGGGCTTTTAAGACTTTTTTTCTAAATCTATTTATAGTTTAAGTGTTCAGTAAATACTACCTATTTACATATAAAAATATTAATTTACATAATGTTTTTAACAAGGTTTCTAATTTTTTAATTTTATCAATGTTCATTCATACCCGAATAACTTATTGACAGCTGTTTTAAGAATTATTTTAGAATACTACTATTACTATTAGTATTATAATTTTGAAACAAAGTAAGTTTTACATCTAAACATACACATGAATCTACATTTTCGTCCAATTTCTATGCTATGTTTTGACTGATGGTCCATCACCATCTTGTTTTTAATAAAAGTTATGGCGGCCATTATAAAAACTTTTTATAATGGCCGCCATAACTTTTATACATCGGTAATCTTACCTTGTAAAATTCAAATATGGCGGCCACAGGAAAAACAAAAGAAGGTGGTGGTATCTCAAAATTCACTAGGTAAAAAAGATCACAAATTGGATGAAAATGTAGTTAAATGTATATGTTTATATTTACTTACTTTTTTAAAACTCAAAGGGATAACGTTTATGGGTTTTAACAGGTTTTAAGATTACCTATTTTAGAACCGCTGATTTTTTTTTTAATTTTTAATTTCCATTTTAATAGACTTGTTATCAGAGCTGGGAGTATCTTGAAAGTAACTTAGATACTTAAATTATCCAAGATACTTTATCTTAGATACTTTGTATATTGGACAGAAAGTATCTTTAACTAAGTTGCTTTGGAAAAGTATCTTGTAACTTGAATCTAAAAAAGTATCTAAGTTACTCGGTAAAGTAACTAAGATACTTTTTAATGTAATTTAGATACTTTTTAGTGTTTCTTAAAGAAAATTGGGGAAATTCCAGAATGATTCAACCTACAACTTGTTCATAATTTTATAGTGTTTATCCATACTTAAAAGTAACTTAGTTACTCAAAAGTATCTTAGTTACTCAAAAGTATCTTAGATACTTTCATATAGTATCTTAGATACTTTCGAATAGTATCTTAGATACTTTTTAAAGTATCTTGTAACTAAAGATACTTTTAACTCAAAGTATCTAGTTACCAGAGGTAACTAAGTTATTTTGTTTAAAGTATCTTAGAAAAGTAACAAAATACTTTTCAGAAGTAACTTTCCCAGGTCTGCTTGTAATTACATAACTTTTGTCTAATTTAACTCACCTTTAAATAAAAAAGATACCCATAGAAGGAAACTTGGTGCAAAATTAAAAACCCTTTTAACATTTCCTGTTACTTGACATTGTCATATTATATTTAAAGTGTTGTGCACTAATATATAATTGCATACGAGATTGCATTTCATTGCATTGTCAACATAAAAATTTAATTTTTTTAAGTAATAATGTGTATCATTTTTAATTCTGATTTGTCTATTAAAAAGTTTAAACAACTATAATAATAATAATAATGTATTTATTTTGCATCAGTAGTGCTACATAAAAATAAAAATTTACATATTTACATAAAAAATACAGATTTTTAACAAAACATTTTTATAAATAGAAAACTAAATCTTAATTAGATAAAATATAGTAAATATAATATAAATATGACAAAAATGCAACATTTAGCTAACTAATTAACAAATCTCAGAAGTTTTTTTAACTGATTTATATTATCACAGTTTTTAATATTTACAGGTAGTTTAGTAAACTTAATTAAACCTTTGTATAAAACGGAGTTTAACATTTGTGTGGTATTACATCTATCTATAGTATTCTAGTATTATAATTATGTACTATGCTCCAAACCTCAAAGTCCCATCACGTGACCACATACGGAACGCAGTCTTTTGAAAATTTGGCATTTAAGGCTTTTCAGGTTATGTATCTGTCAAAGTATAGTCAATGAAAGAAAAAATATTTATAGTGTTACCGCTTATGTTTAAGCGTTAAAAGTTAATAAATCTTTATAGTATCACAATAACAATGGTTGGTTTAAGAATTTAGGAGTATAAATACTGCATTTAATGAAATTCCAAAGTGTAAGGTGCAATATAAGTGATAGTTTTGTGCATTGGGTCTACATTTCTCCATAAAATAGTTTTAACTAAAAAGCATTTATTAAAAAAAATCTTCTCTATTATGAAATAAGAATATCTTTATCAAAGGTAGGTTAATGTATTAGAACAAAAAATATCATCTAATTTTGTATTTTAAGGTTAGAAAAATCTATTTTGACCAAAATAAATAAGTGGATTATTTGGAAGAGTGTGTTAATATGGTCATAAATAAATATAGGTATACTAAGTAATTGTTGAATATGGTTCAAATTAAATTGAAGCTTTTATACTTCTAATGACAAAACTTGTGCATACCTCTCGGCATACCTACTTTAAGTTAGATTATAAGAAAACAAACAATTTTTAGAGAAACTTGCAATGTAAAAATATTTAATACTCCCATGAAATGTGATTTATTAAAATTTTTAAAGTTATAATGATTTTTCGATGTAGATCAAGTTCAGTTGAAGCTTTTTAACTATTCATATTGACAAAACTTTATGTAGGTACACTTTAAGCTGGATAAGAAAAACTACCACATTTTTAAATACCATATTATACAGTCTTTTAAATAATCCAAAATACTTATTTATTTTGGTCAAAATAAATTTTTCTAACCTTAAAATTACAAAATTAGATGATATTTTTGTTATAATATATTAACCTACCTTTAAAACAGATATTCTTATTCCATAATAGAGAAGCTAGATTTGTTTTAATAAATACTGTTTAGTTAAAATTATTTTATGGAGAAAACCAGATATTTGGACCAAATGCACAAAAATATTACTTATTTGGCACCATACACTTTAGAATTTCATTAAATGCAGTATTTATATTCTTAGTGAGCATGAATACGCCTTTAAATTCTTAAACCATCCATTGTTATTGTAATGTTATAAAGATTTATACATTTTAACGCCTAAACATATGAGGCCTGTCAGAGCAAAGTCAACAATCTCCCATCAGACTAAAACTGAGTAAATTGAGATAATTGATTTTGGTATTTTAAATTCTAGATTTGTAATTTTTTTTATATATTATATTGAAATATTGTTGTTGTTAGTCTAGTAGCCAACTACAAGGTCTCCAGGATGCATAGTATAGGTGAAATCTATAATTATAAATTGGAGATTGCTGACTTTGATATGAATTGCTGGAGATTGCTCATTTTGTTGTTAACGTTTAAGGAGATTTAGAAAAATAAACAACAAAATAATTGTTTTTTTTATTTCTTTAATGGGTATAAAATTTAACATACAATCAATGGGGGAAAATTCTGAACTGGACCACATAAATCTGGAGTTTCTTTTAAATCTGGGACCAGGTTGCCTCGTGCAAAAAAGTTTTTATAGTACAAAAACTCATCATCTTTTTCCCACTTTGCCCCGTAATGTTTTACTTGCAATGTTTTGACATTATCAGCCTTTTCTTGCTTTACCTTTACGTCTTATTATGGTATAATAGCACAAAATAAACAAGATATTTTTTTTTATAATTCTTAAAACAATAAAACGTATATATACCTATTTTGAATATATTTTTAAGTGCCATTTACTGCAATAGAACTTAACAGTATGTACCAGTAAAAAAACACAAAATTAAATCTCAAAAATACGTTATAACATTAAATGTTAGGATATCAGGTGACACAAATTACTAATTTCTAATGGTGGAATTGGAGATTGTATATTTTGCTGCAAATCTATCAGTGGAGATTGTCGACTTTGCACTAAATGTCATTTTTAAAATAGGATTTTAGGCAGGATTTAGCTCCTTTTGCAGCACATAAACTTTATCATCTTATAGATAATTAGTTAAAGTACAGTCTCCGCCAAAAATCTAATTTTTGACCAAAAGTGGAGATTGTTGGTTTTGCTATGACAGGCCTCATATTATTTCTTTTGTTGACTATACTTTGACAGATACATAACCTGAAAAGCCTTAAATGCCAAATTTTCAAAAGACTGCGTTCCGTACGTGGTCACGTGGTGGGACTTTGAGGTGTGGAGCATAGTACCTCTCGCATGCCAAGCGACCGCCCTCAGAACGTGGCGTGGCATTGATAGAGCAGTATAATCGTTGCTTAACGAAAGATGAAGAACAGCTTCAATATTTCTTGCAAGTAGTGACAGAACCATAGATGACCGAACATAGAAAATATCCTAATTGCAATAAAAGTAATTTTATACGACTGTAATATTTTCAAGTTAAAAAATTTTCATAACTAGTTGTTAAATATTGTTTTTTGTTATATAGAATTAATTGTTCAATAAAATTTCTTACTATTTAGCAGAAAATAAAATAAATTTGTTTTAAAAGAGACCCAAAAATCATTTAATTAATATTTTTTATCCTTATATTTATGTATTTGTGCTTTTAGTGAGTTAATTAGCAAAAAAAAGTTTACAGTGTCAGGTTAACAGAATTAAAGTGATTTAACAAAAATATTAATATAAAAAAGAAATATGGTATTTTTTTGTACTTTTATTTGAAATTTTTTATTAGTGTTATTTTTGATCGCTGATATCTTTGAAACGGTTAATCTGAAGAACTTTGACCTTCGGATGTTTTTTGTAGAGCGTGTAATTTCCTATAAATCCTCTCGCTTGAGTGTTGCAAAGTTTAAAAAAAAATCCCGTGTTATTGAAATGGAAAAACAACAAACGAATTGAGGCAAACCTTAACATTAATATTAAGGGCTCAAATGGGCGCCAAATTTTTTTGTTTTTTAATGTACTATTAATTTCTCAACACCGTTGGAAAAAAAAATGTTTTTTACACCGTACTGTATATTAATATAAATTTCAATACCTTTCACTAATTTTTATTAGCATAATATTTACTTGCTGTATTAAATATCTTAACAAGTAGAATGTATTTATAAAATATTGATATGATATGTAAATGATATCAGGGCTCCCACACCTCCTAAAATTCATAAAATTCCTAAAATTTGGCTTAAATCTTAAAAACTCCTAAAATTCTCCTAAAATTGCCATCAATCTCCTAAAACTCCTAAAAATTATTTATAAGTACGCCAACTTGACTGCGTTTAATTAAGGTAGTTGTGCTAAAATATTTCTTTTTTAAAAAGTAATTTAAAAAATATATATCTTTGGGTTCTAGTTTATTAATTTTTTTTTTAAATGATATAGGTATCACAACGTACATTTTTCTTAAAAAACAACAAAATATACCATAAAACAAAATCCTTGTAGTGGCTTCTAGACTTCTACAAAATTGTCATTTTTAGCCATATTTCGTTAATTTTTGACAAAAATATACCTACCGTGTTATATATCAAACAAAATGATTTTTAATTTTCTTTTAAATGATAGCTAAAATACTAAACAAGCTGAAGAATGTTTTGCTGTATCATGCACTTTATATTTTTTCTATTATGAGATTTTTTAGTAACAATAACATTACAATTATTGTTAGTTATTAACTAAACTGATATTTTTTTTTTCAAAATATAAATATAACATCATTAAACTTTGGCCTACTTTTTTAGCCATATCTATCGACGCTTTTTTTTAATAAAATTAAAAGTGTGTTTTACCTCACTTTTCATTTTATTAAAAAAAAACTCGTCGAGCGATTTGGCTAAAAAACTGGTCAATATAACCTATTTGTACAAAATAAGTGATATTTATTTATATTTTTGTTAAAAAGCATTACTTATTTTTTAAGTATAGTGTAGAGTTGTTTTTATTTAATTAAATAAATTCATTTGCATACTTTTTTCTCCTAAAATTCTCCAAAAAATCTTCTAAATTCCTAAATAAAATTTGTAATTTAACCGTGGGAGCCCTGTGATATATTCTTTTAAATTTGTCTTTTAATATTACGCATTTGTGGGTTATTAAACTTTGTTAACTAATGAAATATATTTTGCTGCTGTGCCATCACAAATTATTTTTGTTGAAGGTAAAAGGTCAGAAAGCCCTACATACAAACAACAAGCGTTTGGAGCGAGGCGAGAGCCCAAACTACACAAGCCTAAAATCGCGATCGCTGATCGACTTGGCAACGTTGACGTCGACCGCGGCCACTTCATCGCATCGGGACAACAAACGTCACTCGGTCGGCTCCGGAAAATCTCGACGATCGTCTCGATCGCACCCGATCGAGCAGCCCGAAGAGGAGCCGCGAGCGAAGCGCAACAGTCTCCACAATCACAAAAACAACGTTGCCGATAGTTCTTCGTCTACGAGAAGCGGCACTTTGGAAATCGAAGAGCCGGCTACGGAACAAAATACCAGCAGCGGAAAATTTAAGTTAAAAAGTCTGCGTAAGAGCCTAAGTGCAGGACATTCTTCCAGGTAAGACAGCTTCTGATTTAAATATTTATTATTTCTATTGGTATACGCTAAAGAAGTATCGCTAGTAGCGCCACCACTCGGCTGTTATCATCGTAACAAAAGTATAACTTTTAATAATCAGCTGTCAAACGCTTATAATTTTTTTTTTTATTTATTAATATCCCAAAAAGAATACAAGATTCCATAACAGGTGCTATAAATAGAAAACATAAATAAAATATATATATATATAACAAATACAGTATAAGACTAATATAATTTAACATTCAGGTACTTGTAATTATCACAGTGCTATCTTACAGATATATCTATATATCTGTAAGATAGCACTATAGTAGTTTTTAACTGATGTAGAGAAGGCTTCTATTGTTCTTTGGTTTTTGGTTGGTATGTTGAACCACTTCAGGGCAGATTGCGTTATTCTCCTTTCTCCAAATTTGGTGGTGTTTGGATCTATGTGGTAGTTTTCGTTTGTTCTAGCATTATATGTGTGTTTGTCACAGTTTTTAGTTAAGTTAACTGTTGTATTTATCAGGTTATTTTTGATTTTGTACACTACTTTAACACTGTCCAACATTATCTCCTCATTAATGTTTAATATATTCAATTCATTATATAAATCTGTAGTACTGCTTCGATAATGTTTGTCAAATAAAAGTTTTAGAAGTCTGTTCTGAGTTATTTGCATAGTCTTTGGGTCCTTTTTTGCTGCATGCCCCCAAAAGGCTGGAAGATATGTTAGGTGGGAATTAATGTATGCATTGTATATTAAATATTTTGTTTTGTTGTTAATTAAATAAGCATTTCTTCTAAGATAGTAGCCTAGATTACCAATTTTATCTTTAAGACTTTGAATGTGGTTACTAAAACTAAGATTGTCATCAATAATTAAACCTAAATATTTTGCACTATTCACTCTATCCAAAATTTGATTATTTAATTTTAGCGTATAGTTTTCACAGTTTCTTCTATTTTTTATGACTAGATAGTTGCACTTAGTTTCATTGAGTTTAATATTGTTTTTTTTTTAGTCCACACATTTATGACATTTAGGTCATTTTGGGCCCAACCAAACACTTCCTCCTCACTTCCGGAATAGAAAAGTCCGGTGTCATCCGCAAATAGGACTGATTCACCTTTTAGGTCACATTTAGTTATGTCATTGACGTAGATTAGGAACAGTAGAGGTCCTAACACTGACCCTTGTGGAACTCCATACAGAATTTTTTCCATCTTGCTATTTTTATTATCAATGTTGGTGTATTGGAACCGGTTGAGTTTTTACCGGTTTTGCAATAAACAGTGTTAATCTAAATGAAGAAATAAATTGCATACAGTCTCTGTAAAGATAAATTGTACCTATTAGATACAATAAATACCCATTTTAGTAGTGATTAACGTGAAAAGTGTAAACATTTCAATTCAGTAAAAATCGTCAAACAAATAAGTCGTCTAAATTTAAACAGCATTTAGCATTATTAAAAGCGTTGATTAAGAATTCTTTAAAGTCGCCACTCAACGGTAAAATACCATTATATTATGTTTTATATAAAATATTACGTTGCCATGAATTCGTAGGTATATTTTGTTGATTGAAATGCAGTTGTCGGCGTTTTTTAGAGAACTCAAATATAAAAATGGTTGACTTTAAGGTTATGTTGGTGCAAAAATTATTTTTACTAATTTCTTAAAAATGTACAAACTCAAATATAAATTATATTAGGTAAAGTTATCATTAGTTTATCAGTCATAAGAAATTTTGACCGGCTTTCCTATTAAACAAGTAGTTCCAGCCCTCATTACCCTTTTGGGAATGGTCAACAATTTTGATATTGTAAGTAAAATATATATTTTTTATTTTATGGCTTTAAATTGTACTGGCAATATTTTTCTGTGTGGTATTGCTGCTAATTTAAGGCCTATATCAAATTTCGCAATTCAGGTGCAACTACTTTTGAAGTTTAAGTTCAGTTGTGTATGCTATTGCAGACAAAATAACAAGTTTGGTTAATTGTTACAGATCTTGAGATAAAAATATTTGAATTTGAATTTAATATTAGAAAATTCAATTTTTGTAATAATTCTAAAATAATTAAAAGTACCTTTACTAGACAAAGGGTTAATATCGAAATAAAGTGAAGTTAAAATAAATGTTATTTATAAATACTACCTAATTCGAGTAAAAAACTCGAGATAATGCTCATTATTCACTTTTATAATAATGTAGTAATAATTTGAATATTTGAACCAATAATTTGTTTTCAAACAGTTCAAATGATATTTTTAGATTTGATTAGTTTTGAAAAGAGCTGGCAAATAACTTGTCACATTGTTTTCGTGACCAGTCATAAAGAAGTATCGCTAGTAGCGCCACCACTCGGCTGTTATCATCGTAACAAAAGTACCACTTTTAATAATCAGCTGTCAAACGCTTATGTTACAAACAAGTGTTTTTGAGAATAAAGCCGGAAATCTTAAAAATATCGGAAAAAACCGTGGCAAGACGTGTTGTGTTGTTGGGTGTATTTCGAGAGGAAATCCTGGGTTGAGTTTTTACCGGTTTTGCAATAAACAGTGTTAATCTGAATGAAGAAATAAATTGCATACAGTCTCTGTAAATATAAGTTGTACCTATTAGATACAATAAATACACATTTTAGTAGTGATTAACGTGAAAAGTGTAAACATTTCAATTCAGTAAAAATCGTCGAACAAATAAGTCGTCTAAATTTAAACAGCATTTAGCTTTATTAAAAGCGTTGATTAAGAAAGTCTCCACTCAACGGTGAAATACCATTATATTATGTATTATATATAATATTTATTATGTAGCCATTAGGGTTGGGAAAATTTCACTTTTTGCTTGTACCTGACATTTATGAAATTTATTAAAATTTCCTAAATTTCTGAAATTTCATGAAATTTATTGAAACTTTCAATAAATTTCAATCACTCGGTGACCATGACAAATTGCCTCTCTTACCTCCTACCCCTCTGTGGGCCCCTGCACCAATAATATAAATAGTAAATACCTATGTTTACCACAAATTTCTTGAGATTTCCTTTTATTATATTTTTAAAATTACTAAAACTAAAAGAGATATAGCACTTTTTGGTAAGCTAATGAGATTGTGCCACTTTCATTGTTTTATATTTATATATAGTATTTATTATTTTTAAATATTTTACTGAAATTTTAAGAAAATTGAAGAAACTTCATGAAAATTTTATGAGCCACAGGCATTTTTTATCCGTTTTCCGATGCAATTATAGCAAAAGTAAAAGTTTAAATTAATCATGACTTTTAAAAAAATTTTAAAGTCAGATTTAGTTTACAAATTAAATTGGTAATTGAATTAAATTATTTAAATTAATTTATGCATATAAGTAACAATAATTACTTATAGTGTATTCAAATTCAAGCCGAACTAAACAAAAACGCCCAGACGCTTGATAACTCGTTCTTATTGGTCGATTCGGAATCTGTTGTAAATTATTATTAAAGGTCCCAGGGGAGGCCGCATGTGAAATTTATGCGAAATTTTCAGTAAATTGCGAAACTTTCAATGAAATTTCTGAAACTTTCACAGGCAATGTTGAAATTTTCGGATTGAAAATTTCATTTGAAATTTTTAAAAATTTCACTTTTCCAACTAAATGAAATATTTTAAGTTTGAAACTTTCAAAGTTGAAATTTTTATTTGAAAATTTCAACTGTCCCAACCCTAGTTGCCATGAATTCGTAGGTTTAAAATGCAGTTGTCGGCATTTTTTTTAGAAAACTCAAATGTAAAAATGGTTGATTTTAAGGTTGTTTTTGCAAAAAGTATTTTTTACTAATTTCTTAAAAATGTCCAAACTTAAATAAAAATTATATTAGGTAAAGTTATCATTAGTTAATTCTGCACCAACAAATGTACTTACCGAATTGGATCCTTTGGCAATGAAAATGAAAATGCAACGATTTAGTTCTTGAATTTTATTTACATTTAGAAACACAATAATTCACCATGATCCTTTAGATAAAATACACACACTAACGTAACTATATAAGCATTTAAGCGTTAAGTTTCTTAAGAATAATCAATCGAAATCGAGTACTAAACCAGTTTTTTAGTTTTTTCCTTGCAACGTAAAACACAAATAACGTGCGCGATTTAGCTGTGCAATTGAACAAAATTTGTCGAGTAAGACTTCAGCCTTCCTCTCTTTTGTGAAAAACTACCTATTTATTTAAAAATGATGTACAGTTCGTAATTATATAAAATACGCTAAGTAAGTAGCATATTTATGTAGGATAACTCCGCACAGCTCCTTTTTCATGGTTTGTTTGTAAATCCCTTTTACAGTCATTTTAACAATTAATTTTTAATCGCAAATGAATTCGGAAATGTGAATACATTTATCGGTAAACTTTTTAATAATTATTTAATTAATGAATTAGTTTAAAACAGACCAAAAAATGTTAAAATTCTCAAAATTTGAAATATGTTGTTTTTAATACTTTGTAATAATAATACTTGTAATACAGAAAGTCATTGATATTATAACATTTAATATAACCCAGGGTTATAATTTAAAACACTGATTTTGTTTAACTGAAATGGTGGTTGATAAAATGACCCTTTAGTGTAGGGTTTACATAAGCAGATCATTGATCACCGAACACCGTTTAAAAATAGAACAACTTTGAAACATTTAAAAAAAAAATACTTACCATATTAAAAAAAAAAATGAAAATCTTCCATGTAGATCTTGGGAAATAGCGATCAATTCTTCGTAATTTATGTATAGTATCGTATATTGATAATATTTTAACTGTCTCAAAGTTAATATTTGTAGAATATTTTTAATTTGAAAGACTCATACGATAGTAGGAAACTCAAACTTTATTCTTCTGAATGCATTATTCAAAATTATAAACGTAAAAATTGATAAACTTTAACAAAAATGTAAAAAACAACAAAATAAATCTAAGCCTACATATGTTGACTATTGTATGCACAAAGACATCGAAGCAAGTTCATATTATATTTTTCTAATTTATATCTGGATAAATTAATATTCCTGGAAAATATATTGAATGGATGCTTGCTCTGAGAAGAAACCAAGGGCTCTTTGCTTTTCTTCAATAAATTGAGGAACATGATAAATGAGAGCATGGATCTTTGGTGTACATGTAATTCCAGCTTTTGATGATTGTAGTTTAAATTCTTTTATGTAGTCTTTATATTCATCTGCTTGGCCAAAGCAGCCAGAAACTACTTGAATGAACGCCTCAAATACGGGTTGGGTACAATATTCATTGTCTAAAATAGGAATTATAAATCAGTAGGTAAAAAACATCCAAACAAAGCAAAGTTTATTACCTAATGACAAAGTTTTCAATACAACAATCGACTTTAGTAGTTTTCGTGCATTATTGCCATTAAATTTGCCATAATGGTCAAAGCAGATTCCAGCACTTTTCACCCATAAAAAGATAAAAAACGAAGCAACAAATTGTAAACCCAGGCATGTTCAATAGTCGGTATATATAGGCAAAAGAGGATTAGTTTTAATACGAATCTCACTTATAGTTTGCGCTTACTTTTAACAAAAAGAAATAGTGTTTTTATGCGAGGTCAAATATCAGTGGTCTAAACTATACAAACCTATTTCAATAAAAAATTGATATATTATCGAAAAAATTATAAAAAACTAAGAAAGAAAAAGTTTCTTTTTCATGCATTTTTATTACCTACTAAAGAAATAAATTATAATTCATATTTTAAATATAGCAACCCAAAAAACAGTTTCTTGACAAAATTTTTGACAGATCTACATGGAAGATTTTCATTTTACTTTTTTTTGAATACTTTGTTGGTAAATATTTTTTTTTAATGTTTCAAAGTTCGTTAAAAACGGTGTTCGGTGAACCGTGGCCAGGACATTATAACCGAAATACCCAAAACAATCAACAAACAAGTTGGAATTACTAAAAATCAAAAATATAAAATAAGAGCACCCCCATTTCAGAAAAAATCACTGGTCAAAAATGTTTTACTAATAATAGTTAATGTATAGTAGGTATATTAATTTAATATAATTATTATTTGAACTGTTTATTTAAAGAATAAAATATAAAATAAATAAAACATTTTCTTTTAATACACTGCGCGTCAAACTCAAAAACGCCTCTATGAAATTTTGTAAGAATACAAAAAAAGTGCTCTTTTAGTTCCACCCTTACTTCTTAAGAAGTCCCATAAGCCAACTGAATGGCTTGTGCGGGTTAGGGGTAGGAACGGACCGCGGGCTTAAAGTCCTCTCCGAAGGACTATTACACAATAGGACAAATACAAATAAACAGCCATACCCCTGGTGGGATTAGAACCCACGACTTCAACTTATATCTCAGTTTACGTGTTCGAGGGTTTTTCGAGAAAATATTTTTAAAGCCCTTTTATTTAATAATAAAAAAATCGTTCTAAAAATTACTTTTAGGTATTTTTTTTTAAGTAAATAAAAAATATGCTGTTAAAGACCGTATTTTTGTTAGTATACCCTGAAAATTTTGTACAAATCAAACGAACAGTAACGAAGACACAGCGCTTCAAAGTCGGTAAAAAATACCCCTTTTGGATTATTTTGCTAAAAAGTGGTAATTTCAAAAAAAAATTCCCTATAAAAGTTTTTTTCGAGTTTTTTTTATTATTAAGGATATTTTCTCGAAAAAACCTTGAACAAGTAAAATAAGTTTAAGTATTTTTATCCAAAATTTTATAAGCATTGGTAAAGGCGTTTTAGAGTTTGATTTTTTTACTTGTTATTCATTAATTTTGACGCGCAGTGTATAATAAATTATCTACAATTTTTTTTATAAAAACAGTTTTGTAATTCGTGGGTTTCGCGCGCTTGAAATACCCGTATATTCATTGCATGTACAGTAGAAACCACCAATATATGAACGTGACTCATCGGGTGCCGAACATATCTCAGACATGCTAGCAGTAATGTTTTACTTGTCTTGAACATTCGATGCAGCGGTAAATGTACTCACACGTAGGTTTTTAAGCATCCGGTCTAAAATGCGCCATCTGTGATGTAAAACTGCCTAGGTGTTGGACAAAGATGGACATATGACGCGTGTCCTAGCTTGTTACTTATTTCAGTAGAGTTCGTGTTTTAGGCATTTATTTTATTTTATTACATAGTAAGGCAACCAACTTTACCGTCGGCCATTTGTTTTTATATGTCATATGATCTTTGTTTTTGCATATCGTGTTTCTGCTGTGTGTTTACGGATTAATAATCGTTTTAAACGTTGTAGTGGCAGTGGATTATATTATGTAACACAGGTAGATGTCGTATAAAAATCCTTACCTAGAAATTCTAGGCTAGAATACAAAAATATTTTTATTATATAAATTTTGTACTAGTATTAGTTTAATACATTCTGAAGAAGCTACTGTGTATCGAAACAATTGTCAATATTTAATAAATTTCGTGAAACTAACGCAAGTTGTTTTTATATCCACACAATTTAAATATCTTTCACTTTGTACCTGACCTGCGTAAACATTTTTGTTTTTTGTCACCAATTCTGAAATATTTGCGTTTACAGTTAAAAGAATAGTATATTCTGTAACAAGTTTGACGGTTTCACGAGAGGGGAATATGCAATTCCAAACGTGTTTCAGACTATACTTTTTCTACGTTTCCAAACATACCATAGAAAAAGAATTTAATTGGAAGAAAGTGAGGTTGGATCGGTCTAAAAATTTGTTAGATATTAAAAACAAAGATGTCGCCACGAGTGTACGTTCTGTCATCAGATGATAAAATATTTCATTAAAGTTAAAAGAAAAGTTTATTTATTAATTAGTTTCTAAGAAAATTACATTTTATTTAATTATCGTAGATGTTAATTATTAAAATTTAACTTTAAAAGCAAATATATCATAAGTATTGCAACCAACATTACACTCAAGATTTTTTACAAATACTTATGCCCCCGTTAAAACAGGACTGCACTGGACCGTGACCTTCGATAGATTGCTTCGTACGAATGTGTCGGATGAGTCACGTTCATATATTCGTTGTTTCTACTTTATGTGTGTTATCAGTTTATTTACTTTCTAGATTTGGATTTGAATTCAAAGTGTTTATTTTCGTTTGCAGATCGGACGACCGTTCGGAAAAATCTTCGTCGACGGGCAGACACAGCGAGCCGCACGTCAGTCTAAGTGAAAAGGACCTGCGCAGCAGCAGCAGCGGCAAACCGGGCAGGCCGAGGTCTTCGGGCGGTTTCAAGTCGCTCAATCTCGCGATCGGACCGTCGTCGACGGCCGGCAACAGAGAACTAGAGGCGCTCGGTGCGGGAACTTCGCGCACTAAAAACCACGCAGCCAGCGTTTCCTTTACCAGTCTAACACAGGTAAGACTTGTCTTGTATATCAACACTTTAAAGTTAACTGCTTACAAAAAACACACCACCCAGATTGTTTCACAATTTTTAAATAATGTTTTTAAAGTATAAATACACTCACGTGCAAAATAATCGATCCACACAACTTTTCGATGAATTTCAATCGCAAATAACTTTTTTATTTGATGTCGGATTTAAACGAATATTAAAGAATATGAGTATGAGTATGGGAACGTATGGCAGGCCCCAGATATATTGTCATCCACTAATCTCCCGAGGTTATTTTACCCCCTTTCCGTTCTCCTGCGTATCCCGCCAAATCACAGCATTACCTGTGTTTGTTGGATCCGAAGTTTTTACGCCGGCTGGTAGTTCCACCCTAGGAGGTCGTGGATGACAGTGTCAAAGGTTAAGGCCGCTCCCGGAATTTTTGTCAGCCGGGTCGGGCCATACGTCCAGTTTAGGAAGGGTTTTTGGAGGACATTGAACTGACCCAAAACTAAGTACAATCCGGAATCCTCCGCAACCAAGGCCTTAGTAGTATCCCCATTCAATTGGTATTCGTGAATGGGGGTGGGTATGTTAGTTTTTTGCTTACTCCGGCTACCAACCTTGTATATTCTTTATTTATTTTATTGCTAAATTAGTGTTTATACCGTTTTCATTTATTTATATCTTTGCCTTCTTAGGCCCGTTATTTCCAATGCGAGTAAACTTTCGTGTTAGTAAACCTAGGATTAACTTAAATTCGAAGTTAACTTGAAGTTATGTTTTTATGGATTTTTCCAAAGATTTTGCTACCCGAGTTTAGTAACTCTAAATTAAGAAGTTTATCTTTATGTTGGTATCCATGATTCTATTATTAATATATGGATTTTATTTTAAATTTTTGAAACCATCTATGGACGGTCTGATAGAGTGAGTTTTTAAAGGTGTCTACGCAGTGCGTTGTTTATTGGATTGGATTAGATAGTTTGAATGTTTGGGTAAAGTATTATCAGCTAAAATGAGTGAGATTGAGAAAAAAGAGTCCAGATCAAGACCAACCAATTTTAGTAAAACAGAAGATCAGTTGCTGCTTAATCTGGTTTTGAACGATAAGCACGAGCCCTGTTCGAGTATTACGAGATAAAAAGGCCTAATAAATAAGTATAAAAAACATCGAAAGTCAAAATAATGTCAAACAGGAACAGTATAAGACAAACTGGGGGATGTCCGGTAAAATTTAAGATACGGACGAAATAGACAAAACATTGGAAGAAATATTAGGTGATCAAATATATGGTTTAACTTCCCTTTTCGATTGCGATCAAGATGAGTCAGTCCTCATGAAGAACATGGAAAATGAACTCACTAATTTGTCGATAGCGATGAGATGGTCAACACAGATGGGAGGGCAGGAGAAGCCAACAACTGGACAGAATACACCCCCAAAATGTTGAAAGAACCAGTTAACAGTAAATTAATAGAACAGGGAAAAGAAGACAAGGACAAGCATTTAAATAACTACTTTTCGAACAATTAACTCAAGAAAAACTAAGTTTTTTTGGGTTTCATAGGGAAAAGTTAACAGAAGAACATGAATTAAAAATAAAAATTTTACAAAAAAGATGGAGATATTAATAAAGGAAAATTAATTATTGTTAGATCATTTATTATTGTTTGTCGTTACTATTTTTTATGTCTTTATTTAGAATTATAATATTTGATTAGCTGTGTTCCTAATAAACCAACATTTAAGTTAAGTTAATTCACAATTTCCAGGTTAACTTGTACCTGAGCTTCGAGTTAATTGAAACGCGAGTTAACTCACAAATTAGACTAATCCAGATATTGAAATATAGATTTTCAAATTTAACTTTAAGTTTAGATGTAACTCGCACTTAACTCGCAATGGAAATAACGGGCCTTACTTTTTTTTTCAAATTAATTAAAAATATAAATATTAATATACCAAATAGATAAAGCCGGCCCTGTGGTGTATCGCATCAATTTGAAACACGGCCCCAATGTCAGGCGTGCAATGCATGCCTCAATAGATGGCCTGCCACTTCATTTTCACGTGAGCGCTTTGCCCATTTACTTTCGCCATCCTCCAAACTTTGCTTGTGTGAGCTTATGTGTAAATTATATAATATATATAATACAATAATATAATATTGCGACGCACCCACTTGATTTCCCTTCACACACGCACGCTGCCCTCTGCAATGATCAATTGTTGCCTGGTTTCCTGTTAAATTCGTATCTATATAAATTCATTATAAATATCAATTAGTCAATACCAATACCAATACCAAATAATATAAATAATCAATACCAATATCAACCAATCAATCAATTAATCAATATTAACGCCAATATCAATATCAACCAACCAATCAATCAATATTAATACTAATATCAATATCTATAATGCCAATATCAACATCAACATTAATAGCAATTATATTACCATCAATACCAATACCAATACCATTATATCAATATCAATCAATCCATTAATTTATTAATTAATCACTATGTAAATACCAATAGAGCCGGCCCTGTAGTGTATGCAGTGGAATGCGGCCACATGGCCTGCTTGGCTATTGAGTTCTGTTTATTAGTTTGGCTTTGATTTATGGCTGTGACCCTAAATTTATTTATGATAATTTTTGTCTTCTTGCTTGATTAGGTTTATTTACTTACGCCTTTTTCAATGGTTGTCTATGATTTGTCTACCATGAGAAAATGAGGCCGTTTATTTAACAGTTACGGAAACGTTCTTATTATTTTAAAATTTAATTTTTAAGACAAATAGAATTCTTAGATTTTTTTGCAACATTGTGAAATGCTTATATAAACATTTAACGACTATACGGTAAGACATGCAATTAGAAGAATTACTTAGCTTGATTGTTAGGCTATAAACCTGATGCTTTGTCTTTCGCGGGGTGGCCTTCTCCTGCAGGTTTTTGGAACGCTCTGATCCAGGTGCGCCGGTTGAATTATCGTTGTGGCCCAGCCTCAATCACTCACTCACTTGCACACTTTTACAGCGTTATCTCGCAATTTTCGCACTTCTTGCACTTGTTTGTTTATTTATGTATTTATTTATTATTTATTAACGATTACCGATATTTCCGGATACTTTGTTTCGTTTTTGGTACTTTACGTTTGTATCGTATACGCTACTTAGGAGGGGTCTATCTTGATGCATCCGACCTCTTCGAGTGTCAAGACGGAACTGAAAACGAATATTAAAGCATATTGTAGATAAATTAATGGACAATCACCCACATTTTAAAAAATTACTAAAAAACAGACGTACGTTTATAATATACAGGTTTAAACAAAAATATGTTTTTTACCATAAGTTTAAGACACTCTGTAGAGTGGCAAAACCGTATATTCTTCTAAATTAAGTTTTAATTATCAAGTCACATCTATTCTTAACAGTTTTGTTTTTGGTTCACCTCGATATATTTAGATTTTTAAAAAAAACATTCAATTTCCAATATTTTTCTGTATGAAGAACTAAGGTTGCTATGGTCCATCCATAGGCTATGGAGAATGACAGTGACAGTTTTGTTGAATCATCCCATACTTTGGCTTTCAAAAGCTATCAAATTGTTTTTTCAAATTAATGTTTAAATTTTGAGGTGTCTTCTTACTTTAAAAAATGGATATGTCTCCGACTGATGTTGCCAGAGCCATTAATTTAATCCAGGATGGATGGTCATAGTATTACGTGGCAAGTGTTTTAAACTTCATAAGAAGTAAAGTACAAAGGGCAACATAGTCGGAGACATTTTTAAAAGTAAGAAGACACCTCAAAATTAACACATTAATTTAAAAAAAAACAATTTGATACCTTTTGAAAGCTGTATATGACATGTCCAAGTATGGGATGATTCAACAAAACTGTCACTGTCACCCTCCATAGGCTATGGATGGATGGTTCTTCATACAGGAGAAATATTGGAAATTGCAATGTTTTTTTTTAAATCCATATTTTCCACAAAAATAAATATATAAAGGTGAACCAAAAACAAAACTGTTAAAAATAGATGTGACTTGATAATTAAAACTTAATTTAGAACAATATACGGTTTTGCCACTCTACAGAGTGTCTTAAACTTATGGTAAAAAACATCTTTTTGTTTAACCCTGTGTATTATAAACGTACGTGTTTTTTTAGAAATTTTTAAAATGTGAGCTATTCTTCATTAACGTATCTACAATATTCTTTAATATTTGTTTAAATCCGACATCAAATAAAAAAGTTATTTGCGATTGAAATTCATAGAAAATTTGTGTGGATCGATTATTTTGCACGTGAGTGTAGGGTGGTCCTTATTTTTGAACTTTTTAAATTCGATCGTCCCACCCCCAAATTTTGTAATAGTACAAGAGAAAAAAAATCACACAAAATTTTGGATAGTAAACTCAACCTTCCCGTGCCTGTAAAGGATTGAATTTCGACAAAATCCTTCATTTTTAGGGTTTTTGGCATTAACTTCTCAAAAATCGCGCATTACAAACCATTTAAAAAAATAAAATTTGTTCCTCTATTAAAGGTCGTTTCGTAGAAAACTGCATAAATGCACAATTATCACAAATTTAACGTTTCAGTAACGTGTTTTTAAAAAATATCTTAGTATTCATTTAATTTAGCACTAAATCCATTTTAGACCAATTTAAGGACTTAAAATGTTTAGAATTTTACGAAAAATTGTTTATTACTGGAAAACAGGGGTTGAGTTAGCCATTCAAATTTTTGTGTAATTTTTTTTCTTTTGTGCGGTGGGACAATTCGATATTAAAAGTATATCTTTTACCTTTATAGCTAAGGACCACCCTAATAAATAGACCTAAAGGTATACTCGTATATACTCAAAATAACCTGGTCTTTTGCGTTGAATAGAGTGGGAAATAAGAAATAATGCTACTTATTTTTTAATGAAAGAATTTATTTAAGAATGAAATTATTTAATAATGTTATTGATTTGTACATGTCCTAAGCCAGGTTGCATTCATATATTTGGTAAAGGCTTAAAGGTTTTGCTTAAACTTAAATTGCCTGTTACCATTAAAACATTTATTACCTTTTTAAATATTTTCAAAATTAACGCATAATAAGTAAAAAAATTCTAACTCTGAAACGCCTCTACCAATCTTTATGAAATTTTGTATAAAAATACTTTAACTTATATCTCAGTTTACGTGTTTGGAGGTTTATTTAATAATAAAAAAATATGTTTAAAATGTTGTACAAATCAAACGAACACGAATGAAGATACGGCGCTTCAAAGTCGCCCCTTTTTAATTATTTTGCTGTAAAGTGGTAATTTTTTTTCGACTTTGAAGCGCTGTATTTTTCTTACTGGGTAGGTAAACTAACAAAAATACGGTATTTCACTGAATATTTTTTATTTACTTAAAATAAAAATTTCCCTATATATAAATGTTTTTTACCGTTTTTTATTATTAAATAAAAGGGCTCTAACACAGACCTACTGTGGGCTTTAAGGATATTTTCTCGAAAAACCCTTGAACAAGTAAACTGAGATATAAGTTAAAGTATTTTTATCCAAAATTTAATAAAGATTGGTAAAGGCGTTTTAGAGTTAAGTTTTTTTTACTTATTTTGCGTTAATTTTGACGGGCAGTGTATGAAATATTACTTATAAAATAAAATAAGGGTGAATATATTGAGATGCCCCCAAGGGAAAATGATTTTTATTTTTGGTTATTTCACTGTTAGTCTAGAAAGGGGTTTTTGGGAAGCCACCAGGTCTAGTAATAACATAACATAAGTGGTTCTGCACTAATGCAAGAATTTTAACAAATTATACATTTTGAATATTAGAACTTCACGGAGGTTAGGATTTCGTATGTTTTTTTTAACATCCTTATGTATATTTGAATTAAGATATTTTATTTTTTGACACCTTAATATTTTTACATACATAAAATATTTATATAAAAAATCTACTTACTGAGATATTCCACTTCACGGTGGATAGGGTTTTAAATATTAATGAACTTTTGAATTATAAAACGGCAATACTCTCATGTGCATATAAATTCTAACTGACCTTCAGGAATCACATGCATCTATAATGTCGTAAACATAGGGTTGGGACAGTTGAAATTTTCAAATGAAAATTTCAACTTTGAAAGTTTCAAACTTTAAATATTTCATTTAGTTAGAAAAGTGAATTTTTTAAAAATTTTAAATGAAATTTTAAATGCGAAAATTTCAACAATGCTCTTTCAGAAGTTTCATTGAAAGTTTCGCAATTTACTGAAAATTTCGCATACATTTCACATGCGGCCTCCTCTGGGACCTTTAATAATAATTTACAACAGATTCCGAATCGACCAATAAGAACGAGTTATCAAGCGTCTGGGCGTTTTTGTTTAGTTCGGCTTGGATTTAAATACACTATTGTTACTTATAGGCATAAATTAATTAAAATAATTTAATTCAGTTACCAATTTAATTTGTAAATTAAATCAGAATTTTATTTAAAGTCATGATTAATTAAACTTTTACTTTTGCTATAATTGCATCGGAAAACGGATGAAAAATGCCTGTGGCTCATAAAATTTTGATGAAGTTTCTTCAATTTTCGTAAAATTTCAGTAAAATATATAAAAATAATAAATATATATAAATATAAAACAATGAAAGTGGCACAATCTCGTTAGCTAGAAAGAAATTTATTGAAAGTTTCAATAAATTTGATAAATTTCATGAAATTTCAGAAATTTTGGAAATTTTAATAAATTTCATAAATGTCATAAAAATTTCAAGTGAAATTTCAAGTACAAGCAAAAATGAAATTTTCCCAACCCTACGTAAACAGAGGTTTTTGCTTATTTAAAATGATTAAAGCGCCATCCGTTGCATAAAATTTAAAGCAAAAACAGATTCACGGAGGACTGAATCAATTTTCGTAACACCTCCATAAATGGTTTTAAAAAATATTTTTTTTAATTTTTAATAATATTTTCTATTTGATTCGATTGCTTTGGATGTGTTTAATTTACTTAGTGAACTGATTGATATTTTTAGTATGCTTTTACTACCTCAGATCTGGAATATCTACTTAATTATGAAAGATCAAAACACCGGTGGAAATTTCGTAAGATTCACCCATAAAACATTTATTATTGCCGATTTGCAATAAAAATAAAATAGTATATTATGTATCAAGTTTTATATGCGCCATTTTATGCACGAGTTTTATTAGGCACGAGCGAAGCTTGCGAGCGAGTGTTTAATAAAAACGAGTGCCTAGAGATGTTTATAAAACGAGTTGCATACTATACTTTATCTACGACGAACAGAAATGAGAATTTAAAGCCAATTTTAATTTATAAATATTTGACATTTACAAATTATCCTCACTTTTTTGCAATTTATAATAACGCTAACGTCAGCCCGTGACTAAAATGCCCAAAAGCCACTGTTCTTCAATGTAGGAGTAGATAAAATATGATAAACTCTGTAGTAGTGTAAAACGGTTAAGTAGCGTTTGGTTGGTTGTTTCAGACCCACAAGTACCCTTTGCGAAGCCGCAGCAGCAGCTCGTCGAGCCGGGCAGCAGCAGCAGCAGCCGGTTCGGGCAGCTTCTCCACCGAGTTGTCGGTGACGCGTTGGTCGCGAAAGTCTTTGCCGGCCGGCGGGCGTAACAGCAGGGAAGTAGCAGCGCTGGGGGCGAGCGGCAGCAGTAGCAGCAGCAGCAGCGCGGCCGCCGCGCATCAGCCGACCGCGTCGTCGTCGTCCGTTGTCCATCATCACCACCAGCACTCCGGCAAGGAGGACCCCCCCACGGACGACTCGCACCAGCAGCCCTCGCGACTCACGCGCAGCGGCGCAGTGCTGAGGCGGAGCACGCGCAACAGCAAAGGTCAGTCGATCCTAAATATTCTAATATACCTACTTTAAACTAGAGTCTATATATTTTTACGTTTTTATAGTTTTCTTTATTGAAAAGTTTCACAATTATCAGGGATGTAAAATGACGGTCATTTATTTATGTCACAACTTTGAAAGTTTCAAACTTGAAAAACTTCATTTAGTTGGAAAAGTGAAATTTTTAAAAATTTCAAATGAAATTTTTAATTCGAAAATTTACTGAAAATTTCGCATAAATTTCACATGCGGCCTCCCCTGGGACCTTACAACAGATTCCGAATTGACCAATAAGAACGAGTTATCAAGCGTCTGGGCGTTTTTGTTTAATTATTGTTACTTATATGCATAAATTAATTTAAATAATTTAATTCAGTTACCAATTTAATTTGTACATTAAATCAGACTTTAAACTTTTTTTAAAAGTCATGATTAATTTAAACTTTTACTTTTGCCATAATTGCATCGGAAAACGGATAAAAAATGCCTTTGGCTCATAAAATTTTGATGAAGTTTCTTCAATTTTCGTAAAATTTCAGCAAAATATATAAAAATAATAAATATAAAACAATGAAAGTGGCACAATCTCATTAGCTTACCAAAAAGTGCTATATCTCTCTTAGTTTTAGTAATTTTAAAAATATTTTAAAAGGAAATCTCAAGAAATTTGTGGTAAACATAGGTATTTACTATTTATATTATTGGGGGTCAGGGGCCCACAGAGGGGTAGGAGGTAAGAGAGGCAATTTGCCATGGTCACCGAGTGGGCTTATTTCAATATTAATATATTACACTTAAAGTGATTGAAATAATAAATTTCATAAATGTCGTGAAATTTCAAGTACAAGCAAAAAGTGAAATTTTCCCAACTCTACACGTGACATGTCATTTATACGCTAAAGAAGTATCGCTAGTAGCTCAACCACTCGGCTGTTATCATAGTAACAAAACTTTTAATAATCAGCTGTCAGACGCTTTTGTTACAAACAAGTGTTTTTGAAAATAAAGCCGGAAATTGAAAAAATATCAAATATACCTACTTTAAAGTAGAGTCTATGGGCCGTATGCAGAAACGTTGATTTATTTATACCAACTGATTTAGCACATCAGCGGATATAGGTTTTTGCACGACATGGCAACGTAGTAATTTTCTTTAAAAACTGTAGTTTTATAAAATTAATTGGGTAATTATCTTTCAACGTTTATATTTTCCCTAAAAGGTCGATTATACATTGACATTTTAAATTATACATAATAGTATATTATGTATCAAGTTTGATAAACGCCATTTTATACACGAATTTAATTTAAGCACGAGCGAGCTTGCGAGCGAGTGCTTAAATTAATGAGTGTATAGAAAAGTTTATAAACGAGGTGCACACTATACTTTTTCTACGACAAATACTTATTATTATTATCTTAAAATGATTTAAATCAAAAATTTGTATAGAGCGCCATCTATGAAACAATAGGGAAAACTGTGTGTCACCGTCAAATGTCACATTTTTATATTTTATAAACACAGATTATAAAGGTTATAAATCGAAATATATTTCTTGAAAATTTACAGTTTTTCACAGTGAAAGTAAAGAATAGTATATTTTGTATCAAGTTTGATAAACGCCATACTTTTTCTACGAAAAATTCTTATTATTATCTTAAAATGATTTAAATAAAAAATTTGTATAGAGCGCCATCTATGAAACAACAGGGGAAACTGTGTGTCACCGTCAAATGTCACATTTTTATATTTTAGAAACACAGATTATAAAGGTTATAAATCGAAATGTATTTCTTGATAATTGACAGTTTTTCACAGTGAAGGTAAAGAATAGTATATTATGTATCAAGTTTAATAAACGCCATTTTATACACGAATTTATTTTAGGCACGAGCGAGTGCTTAAATTATTGAGTGTATAGAAAAGTTTATAAACGAGGTGCATACTACCTATACGTTTTCTACGACAAATACTTATTATTATCTTAAAATGATTTAAATCAAAAATTTGTATAGAGCGCCATCTATGAAACAATAGGGGAAACTGTCAAATGTCACATTTTTACATTTTATAAACACAATTATAAAGGTTATAAATCGAAATGTACATATATCTTGAAAATTGACAGTTTTTCGCAATGAAAGTAAAGAAAATATTTTATGAGGACTTTACAGTGGAGTCCGTGCCCGAAGAATTTAAGTTATAGTCTACTGCCGGCGAAATGTTTATATAAACTTTTCAAATATTGGCGTTGAGAAACTATTTAATACTTTTGTATTTTTGTATTGAGATAATAAAATAATTTTCACATTGAATATTATTTTACAAGAAAGGCAATTTATTTTAACGATTGTATGACATTTGACAACTGTCAACTAACTTAAAACTAACTTCAGCCCGTGACTAAAGCGCCATAAAGCCACAACTTGTCAATGTGTATATAAAAGGTCACTTAGTGTCATTGAAACATGTACGATAAAGGGTGTTTTAATGGTGGGAGTAGAAAAAAGAATTAAAATTTCATCAAGATTTATTTGACATTTGTGAAATCTGCTTTTAACCATAGAAAATAATTTCGCTAATATAAGTCATGGTTTACTAGATTTGTTTTTTGGCCAATAAAATCATCTAAAATGTAAATTGGTTGATATAATTTATATCGGTCGTTAACGACTGATTTAAAATATGGATAAAAATATACAGTATTTTTGTTTGTAAATATATATGAAAAAATAAATTCAGAAGGTAAACATACATATAATTAAAAAATAACATTTTTTTAAAGATAAAATTACTACCATGTTCATTATATCAAATATCTTTGCTGTTTTCTGGTTTTATTGTAAAATAATTAGGTACCCCTAACATTGAACTTGGGTGAAAATATTTATTGATTAATTTTTTTATTATTAAAAACATCATACCTTTCATAAATGTTTACTTTTTAATATAATACCTAGATAATTAAAAAAATTACTATGTAATAAATAATGATTGTAAAATAAAACCAAAATTGTGTTTAAAAAATATTTGTCTTATTTTTTAAATACTTTTGAAGAATTTTAGACCATGTTCAACTTATTTTTTTCTTTTAAATTTTTAAATTATGTGCTTGCTCTCCAAATAGAAACACAAGTTTAAAAGGCTTTTTATAAAAAAGGCTTTTTATAAAAAAAATAAAAAATACACCCTGTAGGTAAAAACAATTGTTTTTGCTCGAAAGCACAAACAGGCACAGTGTATAAAATTATTTTTTTATATTTTTGGTTCAAATTGTTTTTATTATTTGTAATATTTATTTGACAAATAATTAAAAATATTCTCTGAAACAATATTTTTATTTTTAAAATAAAATACACAGTAAAAAAATCTGGACTAAAATTTGTGTACCTATATTTTTCAATATAAATTATTTAAAAAACAAAGTGTATAAGGCATGCCGAATTTTTTTCATTGGGTTTAATTTAACCTTTTAGGAAAGCAGGGATTCTTGCCCCATTTCCAGCAAGGGTGTAGCTAGGATTTTGTTCAGGAGGGCAGGCAAGGGTAAACTATATGCATGCTAAAACATTTTCGAGACTCCACCTTCCACCAACTTTCTAGCACAATTTTTCTGGACATGCAATTTTTGATTATAGCTCTCTCCTTTTGATTAAAAAAGTTTATTATTCTGAATCCATAATTTATAATATCAAGCATTAAATAACATATGTTATCCTCCAGAGTTTGTTTCTTAATTTTTTTATATTCTTGTCACAAATTTTAAATATCTCTTTTCCCTCCCGATGTCTTCGGCATCATTGCATTTATTTTCCTAAACATTTGCCTAAAAAGGTGTTATTGGTACCTGTAAAAGAATAGGTAAAAAAATTGCCTTTTAGAAACAGGTCCAGTATTCCTATAACTTTAATATAATTATTATAATTATAATATAATTCATTAATCTGTTACAAGAACAAGCACTTGAATAAAATTTCCACCAACTTCAACAAAATTTCTTTGTTTTTTCAGAGGGTTTAAGCCGTAAGTTTCTTTTTTCATACCTTCTAATGCAAATTTAGATACTTGTAACAAAACACATTGCAAACTGCGAACATAACCCAATTGTGTATGTTTTATATTGCGGTTCTTCTTCAAACCAATATTTTGTCAATAATAAGGTTTAGTCAGTTATAAATGTATTTATGTGTATATTTAACAATACATTTTAAAAATGTATAATATTAAATATATAATTAAATTTTACGCTGTGTCTAGTCTCACGCTAGCGTGAACGCAATTTTATTCTTATTCTCACGCATTATTTTATTTAATTTTACTTTTTAGGTGTCGTGTCATTTGATTTGATTATTATTTGATTATGTCATTTGATTTGATTATGCAAATGTAATAAAATTTACTACCTAATAATAAAATCGAGACTCTTTTACTGCAGCCAAACCAACCCAAACTCAACAACACAACCCAACCGACCCCGCCCCATTGGCCCCCCCCCGCCCCATTGAGCAAAAAACACAACTAAAATGGGCAAATTTATGTTACGATAAAAATAATACACTTTAACAAAGGAACAACAAATTTATGAAATAAAAAAAGTTCGACAACTTCTGGTAGATTTTATGTTACGATAAAACTAAAACAAATTAACCAACCCAACCGAACACTGTTTAACAAAGAAAGAAAAACAAATTTATGAAATAAAAAAATAAAAAAAGTTCGTGTAATCGAACCCGGGACCTCTCGCATACCAAGCGCCCGCCCTACCATCGGAGCCATCTAGCTTGTTGTCAAATATTAAATGCTCTGAGAACAAAAACGGATTATAATTAGTGACGTCACCGCGTGAGAATAAGAATAAAATTGCGTTCACGCTAGCGTGAGACTAGACACAGTGTAAATTTTAAGTATATGTAAGATAACCTACACATTTTAAATGACAGTAAAGATTCTTTACTGTCATTTAAAATTTGCTATGTTGCCAAATTGATTCAAAC